AACTCTGCCTCCACTCTGCAGCCTGGCTACCGACCCCGCACAAAGACTTCACAGGAGAGAAGAACACAAGACGGAAAGTTTCCCCTCACCGCGAGTCATGCCCGGGGGATGAATTGTGTTATGAAAAGGTGACAGCAGCCAGATACGTCAGTTCAAAAGTGTTAGCTATTGTGTTCTCAGTTCCTACCTTTAAATGTGTTGTCAAAAGTTGTGCCCCTGGAACAGTGGTTTAGCTCCATCTAAAGCCTTCTTGTGCCAAACTTCCTAACTGTATTCATTAGGAGGGGGGTCACTCGGGTCAACATGTGTTTATATTCTGGAAGGAGCATAGAGGGGATTAGCACTAATCAGAGGGGATTAAAAACAGCTCTTAGCCAGATGGATGTTTTTTTCTCGCCTGGTCTCAACACTTCTGTGGAGAGGGATGTTTGGTTTGCTAAGAGGAACAGAGATAAGGATTCCTCTGGTGGCGCTTTCTTTCTAAACACAAACAAACTGGACCTCTTTCCTACCTTTGACCCAGAGCCCAAAGAGCAAAACATTTTGAGAGGGCTCAGATTGTAGGATGGGCAAAAATGTAGATAATGGGTCACACTTAACTGAAGTTATTGTGAAGATTAGGCTCTGGTTTTCCGGCGTGCCACCAGGCAGCAGCTGAACGCTCCACTGTGTTCTGTCATGATCTGATTGTACAACACAATTAGTGTTCAAATCATTTGAAATCATACTAGTTTCTTTATCTCAGGCTTTTTTTTTCACTCTGAGTCCAACACAAAGCACAGAGACAAAATAGGGGTAAAAAAAAAAAAGAGCTCAACTGTATGTCACAAAATGCAAACAGCAAACAAGCAAACAGGAAAAAGCATTTCTAGAATATGATGTTTTGTATTTTAATACTCTAAAATGGACACCCCCGACGCACACATATACAACCCAACGCACACACACATGCTGTGGCCCCTTTCATTGGCTGTTTTATTTGATACTCTACAAACACTCCCAATGAGTTTTGTTTTTATGATTCCGTTATCGTCAGATATCCTCGCATTTCATACACAAACGCATATTGTTGTGCTCCGTACAACTCCCTGTATACTGCCTCGCCACGTCCAAAAGAAATTACCATACAGCTACATCAGCACCTCCCTGACACCATGTTATTGGAGAGCTGCTGTATTGAACCTGGCCTAATAGCACATGTGTATCCTATAAACCGACGACTCTTGAGCTGACAAACAAAGTAACAGCATGGTGACAGCTCAGCACCTTACACAGTTCGCACTGAGGCACTGAAATCAAATTCCCCGTGGAGTTAAAGAGGGAAAAGAAAGTGTTTTGACAATAAAACACAGAAACAATAAGTGGAGTGTCTGTGTTTTGTTGGGAGTGGCAGTGTTTTTACTACACATTCAGTGTAACGCTGCTTTTTTAATCACAGCACTGACACGCTTGTCAAGCTTTTTCACTCGGTCAGCCTTGAAAGAGCAGGAACAGAATGCTCCGGTTGTCAACGGCGTTGTAGCTCTGGTGCTTGTATAATGTGTGGCATGCATGTTCTCAGGTCTATCCGCGGGCTCTGGTCTTCATTAGACCTAGCCTGAACATCTCTGCGGCCTGACAGGGAGAGCCTTTCATGTGTCCCTTGCCTGGTCCCACTCACCAGCGCCTAACCAGAAACATGCTACTGCCCGGGGCAAGGTCAGATTTCTCACCATAACCACGGCATTAAAGCAACATTGCTCCTGCTAATGGACGGGGGAAAACACTGCTTATTCTTCATCAATCTCACAGACAATATATCCCGTCTCATCATATCGTAGACATAGCAGCACGGGATTCCATGTGGTAGCAATCTGGAGGGAAAACGCCGGGCACTTCTCGATGATTTCACTGACCTGAAACTCGCATGAGAGCGAAACGCCGAGCTTTCGAATCGTCCAGGTTACGATCAGTGTCGTCTCAAAAGGGCAAATAAAAGTCCAGCCTTTTTATTCTCAGCATCGTACTTCAAAGTCAGGCAGTCATCAAAAGCAGAATTCCTTGATGCTTTGAGGGGTAATGTTACAGTTGCATGAACCATAAAAGTAGCTTGGATTGATAAATAGTGATGCATGGCTCATTGCAATGTTAATCTGCAGAACGGGTGCTGGGAGGTCAGAGGAATTGTGTGGGAGAAACAGCCCATCTTTGTGTTCAGCTGAAAGGACTCACTGTGTCATTCTCAGAGCTAATTAAATAGGCTCCAATGTCAACTGGAAGATGGGTAAATATTTAACTGACTGGGATTATTCAAACAGCCAACTGAACAACAATCTTTTCAGAAATATGTGTTAGAAACTGAAATCAATATCCCCTGAATGACTTGCACAACAGGGAAGTAATGTCATGCAAAGTATAAGCCCTCGCTGGCCCGGCACCATCAGAAACAAAGCTTTTGTACTAGCAATCAGCCTATTATTTAGATGTTGCATTTTCTTTCTTTTTTCTCCCTTTCTATTATGTCCTCGGAGACTTGGACGTCTTGCAACATGCCTCAAAGGAGGCTGGAGGCGCTTTTGTTTAGAGTTTTTTCACACTTGAGGGCCATGGCACTTTGTCTGTGTAGAGAGGGACTGGGACAGACTGAAAGGGAGAGGGGCTGGGCTGGCTGACACAGAAAGAGGGCTTTGCTAAACTGGCCCAGCCTCAAGAAAAGGGAGAGGGATTAATGCACACAGACCAAGGAACTAATCTCCTGTGACATAATAGAACTGTACACAAACAGCATCCCTGAGAAGTGAGTGGTAAAGCATTGACTGACTGAAGAGGGTGGGTGTGTGAATACGAGGGCTCGGCATGATTTGTCATGCACTGAGGAGAGTGGTGATGAGAGCAGGCTTCAGCAAGAGACGCGAATATCTGGGAAGTGTCATTTCTTACTAAACTATCGCTTGGAAAAATAAGCTTGTACACAGACAAATATGCAAACACTACGACCACTTAACACATAAATATACAAACCGTCCAGTGTGAAACTAAGTGGGCAGTGATAAACCACAGGAACATGACTCAGTAGGACTGTGTATTAAGAATATCCTTCTTTTAGTGTGTCTATATTTAATAAATGCTGGGAGGATGTATATTTTCTTAACCCCTGCTGCTAAGAGTTACTCAAATTGTGGATAGATGCCACGATCCAGCACAAATGTGAGCTCTTTTCGGTCCAAATTGTGAGATTTTGACACAGAGCCTAACCCTAACCCCAAAAAATGAAGCAAATAATGTGGTTGGATGCCTTTGATGAAGAAAGAGGAAGCAGTTGCTCTTCATCTCCAAACGCAACAGCTGCAACAGTAACAAGTGGGGAACGTACAGATTTATAGAAGCACAGACTAATCTTTCTTCATGTCAGCCACTGAAAAACAGCTCTATGATTTCACTGTTTGATTCACATCGAGACTCCATTAAGCTAATATGTTTTGTGAGATTCAAAGATCTATCAACGATCGTGTATTCTTTTGGTGGAATAGGAAAAAAACATTTTTTTTTATTTGGAGTCTTGTGACTGTCACCATAGCTTTCAAATGGCTCATATCAAATCCAAATATTTGCTAGATTAATCTTTGAGGTCAAAACGAGTTTTACCCAACAACAGTTCCCCCCACAGACACAGGATGTGAAGCGGGCCCAAACTCTGACTGGATCTCTACAAAATGTTGATCTCACTCTTTATTAATCATCTGCTGACGGCTTTGGCAACATTTTAGAAAATTGTCTATCTTCAAGGTCCAGTGCGACTCCAAGTTTTTCTCCAGAATAGCTGACGTGTTTGTACGGTTTTTAGGCCCTGTCCCAATTCCCCCTTATGGACCGTTGATGTAGCTGGTCCCCATCTTTTTTACATTTTGCAGAGTTTGGTCAAGTGTCAATCTTTCTGTTGGGCATCAAGAGAGGTGATCATCTAGTAGAGTCAGGGAGGGGGAATTGAATGCCTGGCATTTGGATGGTGGGGTGTCTCCGTGTGTCTTGGGTCCACCTTGGTGTGCATCCATGGAAACTTGCCCTGTACATTGTTTGCTGGCGTGTTTGTTTAAGGAGGTCAGGACCAGTATGACTTATTCAGTATGGTGCCCTTGGACGAGATCCTTGGAACCTGAACAATCCCTGGAAAAGAGGTCTAGGTTAAGACTCTGAGGGAAAACATCAGGAAAACTGCAGACAGACTTGGCATTGGGCGATGGTGGATGTTCCAAAAAGGCAAACATCCCAATTATACAGCCATAGTGGTCAAGGCGCCATTAAGAAGTGAGCAACAACATTTAAGTGTGGCCCAGCAGGATCTCAAATCATAGCCAAACAAGTATCTGTGGAGGAGACAAAGTGATGGGGAGATAATCCTCTAACTTCAGGGAACTTAGGATCATAGCAGAATAAGGGACCAAAATTCCATCATATGAGCAAAAATCATTTTTGACTGAAAGAATAAAGATTATGTAAACATTTTTTTAAAAACTTGCTTTGGTCACAATATTCATCCAGAGGATGAGAATCCACAGTGAATACCTTTTTGGCATGTGCTTACTAATAATGTAACTTCTCAAGTAACCAGCCTTCAACACAGACATCAAAACATCCAAATATACGCACATCAGTTGTGTAACTTTCACACATAAACTCTGTTAACATTTCCAAGTCACAATTCAGGGAGTAAAACATTGCTTTGCAGAAGAGGTTTTCAACACTTCAGACACTCAAGCGCTTTTAGAGGCAGAGTTTTACGTGGATGGGGACGAAGCTAAAATCACTCATGCCGCTGAGTCAGATGACCTGTTTATTTGGACTTGCCGAGCGCACGTCTCAGCCTCCTGAAGCGACCAGTGAATACGCTGCACACAGAGTCTGCCGTGATGGATTTCCTGGCCAAAATAAGCAACAGCTATCGCCAAATGGTGGAGTTTGGGCTGAAAAAGCAAGTGTATTTACTTCTCACATCAGATTGAACTAAACACACAGCAAAGGGCACGGGTTAAGGGTTATTTTATTACTTAGTTTGTACAGTTTCTACCATGGAAAAATAACATGTAACATAAGACTGTATTTACAATTCCATTTTTACAAAATGTCTTTACAAGATTTTTTTTCTTTTCTTTTTTTTTGCAGGTCAAAAAAAATTGGGACTACAGCACACAAAACATACACATTCACACACATCCAAACCAAACCTTGTAATACACACATAAATAAATATAGACATTCACTGACTGCTCCACAACAAATATTTCTACAGCCAAGAACATGTACAATTCATCATTTCCACGCAAAGTTATAATTCATTAATAAACATTACATATTACTTCCAATATATTTCTTTGTTAATCTGTTAATGAAAGATTGCTAACATATTGAAAAGAGGTAACACAGATGTTAATTCATGCCAACAGAATGCTAAAGGTTGTCATGCAAAACCATTGCAAGCGTTCAATTTGAAGCCAGTAATTCATTTACAGCTCTAAAATCAAAGGTACTACATGCAACATACTAAGTGAAATATTCTGGGTTAGACAACAATGACTTTAGTTACATTATCCATCAGTACAGACTGTATGTCTAAGCGCCTTTTTAATGGGTAACGCAAAATAAATAGAAGGGCTTTTCATTTTCTTTCTTCATGAATTAACAAAAACTTCAGGGTTTTTTTGCCATCCAACGATCATCAAGTTCCCAAAGAGTAACTGTGTTTCTTGTTTGCATTTACCAAATTCAATTAAAGGTCTTTTTGTTGTGCACAGAGACAGCGGGATCACAACAAATAGCAGAGTCCTTGGATCGTACTTTTTACCAGAAATGTCATCGCTTCCTTACAGGTCTGGTATGAGTTGGGGAGCTCGGCACTAATAGACTCGGAATATGAGACATTTTGCAAGGATAAATGTCAATGTACACACAACCCCGCCGGGTGACATCTAAGTCAAGAGAGAGGAGTTGAGAGGAAAAAGCTGACGTGTGGTGGGGTCTGGAGAAGATAGACCCGTATGTTATGAGTGGGGGTGGGGTTGTCAGTTCGCCGTGTTTCTGTTTGGTTCCACACATTCCTTCCCTGGCAGACTGGAGCAGAGAGCCACCGGTACGTCTCCCTGATGGGGTCACCTCCATTTACAGAATCAGTGTCTCTCCACTGATGGTTTCTGATGATGAGGGTGGTGTTGTCGGAGTCTGGGACCTAAAGTGCACAAATAGTCAAAGGCTGTCAGTTACACCCTGATAACGATCACTCTCCTTTATATTATTCCAAACAAATGAATGAGTAGATATACATTTAAGTGTTTTTTTTGGTGTTCTTTTTGTTTTGCTCTTGTCTTTTGTTTGGTTTTATAGTTTGCTTTTTTTTTTCAGTGTTGTCGCTTTTGGTGATATTGAGGTGGTTTCATCCCACTTTGTTTGCAGCTTTTTGCATTGCTGTGATGCGTGTTTCCAGCAAACTGCTCAGCAAATCAGGTCAGCAGGACCACAAGCTTAAGCCAAACACAATCAAGCGAAGGATGACTAAAGCCCTGATCAGACCTGGACCGATTCTGTAGGCACCACAGACAAACAGCTTTTCTCTTTTTACTGCCTACACTAATTCCTCTGGGTATACACATTCCTAACATTTGCCGTGTGATATACATGGTTCAGCATAATTACACTGCAAATGAAGCCCATGAGTCAGTGTGGTGACAGCAAAACTGCCCCTAAAACATCCAGCTTTATCAGGGTGGTGGAAGATAGACTGATGCATGTCAAATGGGACAGAAGTTGACGTGTGACTCACGGTGTTGTATGACCGGCAGTATGCTCGGGGTCTGGAAGGTCTTCACGGTGGCCGGACCTTCTCCTCCAGTTGTTATGACCTGCACCTCCAGTCTGTAGTAGGTGGACGGCCGCAGGTTGGACACCACGAGCGAGTTATGATCCTGCCAAGAGAATGAGGAGATGCAATCAGCTGGGGAACAAGCGGCCGCAGCTCTGGATCTGACAGGGCTTTAATACGAAAGAGACCCTAAAACAGGGACGTGTGGCTGTCTGTGCGCAAACCGCAGACAAAAACAAAGACTTTGTTTTCGCAAAGCGGCTGCCATCTTGATAACGTGTGCGGCGGGTGGTTTTATTTATAGACGAGCTCAGGAGGCTGGGAGGTGCAGATAGGCGGAACGTGTTGTTGATGAAGCAGATTATGTCGAAGCGCGGCTGTTTTAGAACACACGCGGAGGATGAAAGCGGAGGACGTGAAGACAAACAAGGATGTAGGAGAGGAAAACTTCCAGCAGGACGCAGCGCTTCCTCAGATCTATTCGCGTGCCTGTCTACACGCCGCCGCTTATCACAAGATTCATGCTAAGAGGCTCCAGCCGCTTTATCTCAAAATCACTGTCACCTCTAATAGATGCTGTGGACTGAAATGCGGCGAATAAAATCCCAGTCCAAATGGAGAATGTTCTCACTGTATATGACAAAGCATGGCCCTCTGCATTATACCAGAGTGAAGAACAGTTGTCTTGCGCTGATGTGAACACACTTACTGGAGGCAGTATCTGGGACTGGGAAATAATGCTGTTGGGCAGGCTGTTCTGCCGGCTTTCAGTGTTTATCTCGGCCCACGTGACCTGGAAGCCTGTGATTCGCTGATGAGGAGCCAAACGAGACACACTCCACAGGAAGCTGCCGGTGATGTTCCCTTCACTGATGGAGAAAGAGGCCGTTAGGTTCTCCGGCTTGGCCAAAACCTTTGGAGGCCCCGAGGCTGTAACGAGAAATGTGGACACAATGATTTCTAGGAATCGATGCGGCTTCCCAAGAAAGATATCCTAATTGTTGACCTACTCCCTCGGCTCTCTTTGGATTTCGACCATCATCACGATAACAGATAGCACCCTGAGGTATCTAATTACTGTGCCTGCATTAATCTGGATCAATTCGAAATGCCCTTCACGTGTCATACAGCTGGATTCTCACCTCCCTCTCCCGGGCAGGGGATGTGTTTGTGAGTCTTGCTCCGGATGGTGGCGCAGGATGGGGTCAGGAAGGTGGTGCTCTCGTCCTTTGAGCGTCTTTTGGACTTCAGCAAGTGAACAGTGACTTTGTACTTGCAGGAAAACAGCAGACCTGGGAGGTTGATGTAGTTCTCCTGAGCAAAGAAGCATATTTTTCAGCCCTGATGACTTTGACGTGTCACCCAGGTCAAGTCCCATGGAGCTTTGAGATAATTAAATACACAGCACCAGGGCAGATCACATTCCCGCTCAGGCCTCACCAACATGCTCTACATTACAGAGCTACTTTGAACGCCCACATGTTAGAGTTTAGGCCACTATTTTGCAACTCACCCAGCAATATAATTTTTTTACCCTGGCTTAAAAATGAAGTCAAAACACAAAAACTTCAATAAGAAACATCAGCTATTGTGGATTCATGTGTATTTAAAATGGAATGGCCTGTAAATCCCTGTTTATTAATTCTGTGCAGCAGTTTGCACTGTAAACTAATTTCAAGCATTAACCATCGATTGATCTTAACTAAAAAACAAAAAAAAAACAATTTTCTCATTTCGTTGAGGAAACGAGAAAAAATTAAGCTGACTGGTGGATTTAGACCATGCAGTAATAAAGGCGGTCTACATTAATAGGCAGTCCCTCGGGGTAGGGTGTATATTCTCTCTGATATGAAACAGCTTTGATTAAAAGTGAATGAGGCGCTGCGCTCTCATAAAAGAGAAAGTCTGGAATCTTCCCCGGTGATCTATAGAAAATGTATATTTCCTAGCAACGAGAGCGCTGCTTCCAAAAGAATGTGCAGATTACCGTGCCTGTGCCATCTCGCCCTCCCCTTCCCCAGCCTCCAACTCAGCTACAAAAACACTTTTACATCCTCAGACAAAGCCTCATGCAGTAGCATGGCTGGGGCCACTGGAGGTGAATGAACCTCATTACTGGAAACATTGTTTAAGTAAATATGTTTCATTGGCCAACAAGCCACATGTCTGACCATAAATACTGACTCATATTATTAAGAACCACAGGCAGTGATTTGCACAGTGCAGACTCAGTCGCTTTTCTTCCGCGAGCTGTCCTTATTAAAGCTTAAGACAAAAGGTTAGGCACGTGCTTTGCATTGCACAGAGCTGCTGATCAGGTCAGGGCTCTGAGCGGACCCTCGCGGGGAATGGCTGTGAACTAACCTGTGTGACAGATTTCTCCGGTCCTCGTGTCTCGTTGTGACTGCAGTACTCGGGCATCCACTGGACATGGTAACGGCTCACAGTGGGGTCTGAGAGAAAAGACAGCCAAGTCAAACAACGGATGAATAGCTTAGCATGCAGGGTTTTTTCTTTAATCGTGGTGAATATAAACACTAGCCATTACAAAGGCCAGCTCTGCATTCAAAATGTAATGTAAGTAAAAGCATGAGGACAATATGAATTACAATCTCTACTTTGTACTTGAAACATAAGGTAGGAAATTACCTGTGTGCAGTTTTTGAATGGAATATTATTTACAAAATTACTAGTCAAGGAATCCATAAATCCGTAAATAGCTTTTAACTATCTATACCCCTGAGAGTATATCTCTGTTTTTCCATTAATTTGTTGCGACCAATAATCAATAAACTTTTTTTAAAGGTTAGTAAGTGTCTTATGTGACTGAAACAGAACCTTAATCTAACATCTCAAAATACAAAACTCAAATCAGGGGGAAACTTTTAAGATTTAAGTTTCAAACATTTAAGGACAAATACTTAGGTACACAGACATTTATCTTATATACAGAAAATTAGAAACATTCAAGATTAACAAAGTAAAAAAAAAGAGGCTGCATGGTCCTGGAAAACTGTTTAGATCTAGTCTTAAAAAACACAATTACATATAGTAAAAAAAAAGTATGTTCCAGATGATTAAAGTCTGATTTATAAAACTTCACAATCACAAAATGACAAAGTCACTATCAAAGAGTGGGCAAAACTGTTGCTGTTTGCAGCTGCAGAACTTGAGGAATGAAAGTCTTCAAAAAGAACAGAACAAAGACAGTTGTGAATATCCAAACAGTGAATCACGAGGCATGGGCATGGGCATGGCCAAAAGGGACGTTTACCTAGCATTCTTACAAAGAAATTCGATATAGCTTTACAATTTCATACATGTAAAAAGCAGGGAGGATAGGTCAGCCATACAAGTTTGTGTGATTTAATTCACTTCGCTGGAAATAAATGGCTGGAGCACAGCTGGAATAAATGGTTAGCAACTGATCTAAAATAAAGCTGATCGTTTGATCCCTGAGGTTTCATTTCACAGTTATGCTAGAAAAACACTTCCAATTGCTCCCAGAGTATGACTAGTCAAAAACTAGTAATTCAGGAAAAATCAAATCTGAAACCACTACAGTTGTCAACCACAATAAACGTAAAACGAGAAGCAATGTTGTGTCCCAACTCCAACATGAGAGTTTATGGTACATTCAAATTGTCCTTAAATATAGCATTTGAATAAATTTACGTAGCTGGATTTCAACGCTGCTTTTCCCCCAATAAGCATAAATCTGATATTGTTCTAACAGCCTCAAATGATGTGCTGATTAGTATCTCATAGATTACAACATCTCCTATCTGAGATCTCTTATCACCATTTCCATTTTGATGCTCATGATGACTGTCTAACTCTTTGAAATAACTTTCCTTCATATTCACTTTCAATTGAGACTTTTGTGTCTCTAAAACATTCCCTGTTGTCTGACGTAGGTACAACTAATGAACTACACGTTTTGACTCCTTAAAGAAGCAGCCTTGTTGTATTTGATGGTGCAAACCAACATTCTCTTCATTTATGTGCAGAGGCTCCTCGTAAACTCATCAGCAGTGTTTATCTGCCCATCTCGCAGTTACACGATTTATTATTAATTCAGCTGCTTTGCTTGGATTTTTTTAAGATACTTTTCCGATTAATAATTGAGTTGTGCTCTGTTCACCCTTCAGCGGGAGCCTGGGTTGTAGTTGGGAGATAAAAGGGGTCCTTTGAAGACTTAGACAGATCTGGCACTTGAAGCCCTTGAGGTCTTTGGAAGCAGAAGAGAGGAATTACAGGGAACCAGGAAATCGGGAAAAAAGTAAACAAGATAGGCTTAGCTGTGTCTGACGGAGATTGGAAGTAGTATGTAAAACAAGAAATGGGACATGGAAATCAGGTAGAGAACGGAACCTCAGCAGCGTTCGATAAATCATGACTGCACGCAAGCTTCAGAAGTCCAGCCACCGACAAAGTGATGTCTATTGTCTCTGTCCTGGGCAGACAGAGATATATTATCTGAACTGGTGTATAGTATGCTTCTATTTTGTCTGCTGGAGACAACCCAGAGGCCAGGCTGCTTTGGATCAAGGAGACAATGAGTGAGAGTTTAATCATGGTTCAGTTAACCTGTCCCTTTCTCTGTCACACAAACCAGATGTCGAGAGCCTCCAGCTTTCCCGGCCATCTGTGTGCCTGTGTGTTTACATGAGCCGAAAGCAAGGCCATCCCTCAGACTAATAAGTGGCAGAGGCAGACACAATGCGGACCAGGACCACAAAACAAGAGACAGAAAAAGAAGCAGGACCCGGATTAACTCTGCGATGCAACACTGTGATTCCCCAGCCATGCTAGATCCCTGTCAGCATCACTCAGCTCACGGAGTCCGGGCCAATCTTGCTAACAGCTCTGCGCCAACTTTATCCCCACGCTCTCTTCACTCTGATTCAGCAGTTGGTGTCTCACCAGGCCTCTCCCTCAGCCAGGATTTGCATTCTTGACTCTAAGATGTGGAGTTTGGCTTGAGCGATGACATATATTAGTAACATAACATAGACCAGTGAATGGGACTTGACAGGTTACCCTGAGAGCATGGCTTTCAAGGTTTCCATACTTTCACCCTGGTATTAACAGAAAGTTTGGGGAATGGACGCCACTGGGACGGGCATTCCTATAGTCTTTTAACCCCTTGTGGGGCTACCACCATTTCTGCTTACGATGACGTCAGGTCCTGTAAACCCAAATGGAAGGCTTCAGCTTAATGTGAGTATCTATTAAATACAGCTGAGCTCCGGCTGTTTACTGTTCTCTGATAAACGGTGGCTCCTTTCTACCAGGCCACATGCAGGTTTTAAACACAGTTCCAAACACTTACAAAGACACATTGTTTTATTTACACCATTTGATACCATAATTACAAGAAGAATCCGCCAATGTTCAAGCAAGCGAGGATGAGTCATTACACTTTAATATGGTGCACATGACTCACTGTGATTGATGAGTATAATGGGGTGCTAATTCGATTCAATCAAAGCTTCAAATCGGAGTGCTCACCTCCCCGTTTCTTCCAGTAGACGCGGACCTGCAACTGACCATCCTGGTAGAAGGGTGTGCCCACTTCGAGAGGGCCAGAGGGGCGTTTGGCCAGGGTCGAAGCAAGAGGGGGGATCTCCTCCTTCTTTAGTTTGAGCACAGATTTCGCTGGGAAGAGAAGTGAGAAGTGTTTTCTGCTGTAGCTAAGATACGACTATGACAGTGTTATGGCACACTCCTCAGCAGGGTAACAGAAACACACAAATGTTTCTTTGTAACATCACAGTGGAGGAGAACAGGAACCAGAACAGCAGGTTCTTTATGCACAAAAGGGCTGCAACTGAAAGGGCACACACACACACACAGACACACACAATGCTGCAAAGGTTGTGGGTTCAATTCCCTAAAGAGCCACACAGGCAAAAGAGAACGGACTCTCATTATACTGAGGCACGCTGCCTAAATACGCAAGTGCTACGAATGAATACAGATGTGCTGACTGAATACTTTGGCCATTCTTGATTTCTGTAATGGTCATGATGATTGTTTGCTCTTTCAGTAATTTTGGGAAATTCAACTCTCATGAGAGGCAAACAAAGGCAATAGGAATTCCCATGTGGGTCTGCAATCAGAATGCTGCAGCTCCATCCAGGTTTGTTTGATTTCAGGTAGTACATGACCCTGCATGTGACTAAAATGCACACATTGTATATACGGATATATGATTGAAAATTGGTTTAGTCTGTTTCTGGCGTTTTGACTTAAGTGCTCTGTGATGTCCCTCATTTGTTTGTGGCCGAAGGCTTTAAAGCCACATGTTTACAAGCCACATGCTTTTAGCCATCTTTTTTCTTTATTTTTCTTTCTCTTTTTTTTGGGGGGGGGGGGGGTAATGAAAGTTATCATAAAAGGAGGTTATGTATGTTGTGATGCCTAAAAACCTGCCTGCATAGTACTTGTGTGCATTTTATAGCAACTGGGAAGTTTAAAATTGCAACAAAGAAAAATCAAAGATAAGGCTGCAAGACTATGGTTTTCCATTCAAATAAAGATTGAAAGTTTTTTCTGCCACAATCTTTGCATTTTATATTCTTAACATATGCTGCATCTAATGCTTTAAACAAGCTCCTTCAATTAATAAATGCTACTATTTATTGAAAAATCACAGGGTGCCATTGCGTGACTATCACTGTCTTCCTGAGAAGGGCAGCCATGTTGGATGCTCTGTTGAGGTCGGGACAGATGAAGTTCCTCAAATTTTCCGAGTCAGAAATCCAACTTTGCAGAACATAACAGTTAATGTTCCAACTGGGAAAATGTCAATTTCGACATCCAAGTTCAAATGTAATGTACAATAACTACAGATGAGGATGTAAGAATGCTTTTGGCAGGAGTCTCGCTGCCAAAAGCACAAGGCAGCACTGTACAAATGAAATGAATATGCACACGTCACGGTTTGGGGGAAAATAGCCCTCGCTGACTGCTACTGTCATCCGCACAACTGCTACACATGTAGAACTGAATAATGTGCTCGGTGTTTACCTGAATCGTTATTCTGGGCAGTGGTGAAGTGTAGAGAGGCCTTGGAGCTCTTCAGACGCACCTGTCCCCAGTACGTGACAGCCTGCAGCTCCACGGTGTAGCTGCAGTCTTGCTGCAGTCCCTCCAGGTCCACCCAGCTCTGGGCCTGTGAGACCAGAAAAACACTTGGATGTTGGCGCTTGCACGCTTCAACACTGTCCCTGACTCTTTTCAGAGCCCTGTCACTGCACCAGTCACAGCTCAGGCCCAGCTCGACCCCCGCCAAGGCAGGCCTGTGGGAAAGCCCTGCTTATGAAGAACACATGTGGAGCTTAGGAAGGGCCCGCGGTGCACAGATAGCCTTCAGGGTCTGGTGAGAGAGCAGTGTTATCAGAGCCTCCCAGGGCTTCTTCACTGCACCGGACTTCCAGCATTCCATCATCAGCATGAACTTGACGAGTTTCTCTTATTGACTGTGCGTGTTTTGACATTCCTCGACCAGCAGGCTGCTTTTCGAAGCCCTGAGGTGCCAAAGTGGAAACCAGTAGTACATGTGTCAACAGTGTCTGGTGTCTCCCACCTCTATCTCTTCTGTGCCACATCTGCTACGCATTTCAAAAACCAATTCAGAAGAATACTCTGTGGAGGTGTATGTGAACTGTCTAGACAATCTGTCTTTCTGCTGGAGTCTCTCATGAAATGCTCTTCACAGATACTCAGCAACATGTGCTATCAGGTCACATGTCGATGGGAACATAGCCATAGAAATAAATAAAAAATAAGACAGTGCGTGTAAACGTTAACTGAAAACAACGCTCATTTCTGTGAATAAAAACACTTACTGTCAAAACAAACCCAGACCACCCAGAGGTGTGTTGAGCCTTTGTGTGGCTGACCTGGTTGGGGTCATTCTGCCACAGTTCAGAGAGCATTATGGCCCTGTTGAAAACCCTCAGTTGCAGAATGACTGACATTCACCTGACCACATTTCCTCTGTTGGTTTTGTTTATGAATGGTTTGATCAGCCGTGGCATTGTGCAGCCATGCGAATAAAATTTTCATTTTGTGGTCCACATGCAGCCCTGGATCGCGCATTTCTTCTCAGTGGTCAGAGGGTTTTTCAACTCCCAAGACAAACGTGCAATCATATATGTTCTACAAACAGGTCACAAAGCTCCTTTGTGCCAAATATATTCAGTTATGCCTGTTTGATTTACTTCAATTATCATATGTAGATCCTCTTTTACTAAAAAAAAAATAAAATGAAAAAAAAGAATGAAATTTGTAATACTGTCAAAACAATAATTGGTTTGTGTTTGACTTGTCCAAGTAAGGAAGTGAAACTTTGTAAGCTCTTTGCTGTAATTGAAACTAAGGCCTTGGACTCTGACTTCTTGGAGAAAGGACTATAAACTTTTTCTCCCTGGCCAGAACTAATAGTTGGGAGTGTTCCAGTGTGCACAATTGTTCCAAGGAATAACAAGGGCATTAATGACAGAAATCAGTGGTACTTTGGTTAAACATGATCTCTATACCATGATTAAAAAACTGTTTTCTTGGATGCTTTTACCCCCTTAGCTTAAATGCCCAGTTTTCATCAATGTTTAGCATAATGACAGGAAAAAAATATGTTGTAGTTATGAAAGCACTCCATTTTAAAGCTTCCCTTAAAGGTGTGACTAAAAAATGTCAAAAATATACCCATGCAACACTTTAGTATTTCGTGAAATCGCTCAATCAGTCATGAATGAAAGCTTTAAAATACCAACTGAACAAACTCAAACGATACAGACCGAGACGCTTAAGAAACACAGACACTCCAGTCATGATTTATCACTGTAAACCCAGCTATCCATCACACTTAATGTGTTTCCCTTCGAATCGTAACAGTGTTTAAGCATTCTTTCATCAGTATAAAGAATTAGAACAATGAAGAACACATTGTCTCAGAGTGAGTGACTGGGAGCCCAAATAAATAAATTCAACCCCTTTTCTGTGTTTATCTTTTTCCACTGCAGCCGGGTATGGATGTCTAAAGGACGCCTGGAAGAGCCGGCGCAGCTAGAAAGATGCAAAGAAAAAGCCAGCAGAAGACAGGACAACGCATGGAGAGTGGGAGGATTACCCCATTGGTGGTCTTTCTCCTTTTCTTCTTTGATGGCACCATGGACTTGGTGGGTACAGTCCAGCTCCAAAACACTTTGTAGTGATGTATGGGAATGTCGGGCTCCTCTGACAGAGTCCAGTTGACTCGTGCTTTCATCAGGCCTTCATCTCCCATTGTTATGTTGGTGACGCGCAGACTGGTCGGACTGGGAGGGGCGGATGGATCTGAAGACACGGCAGAAATGACCACTGTTAATACTTCCAGATTAGAACACATCTGGGATAACTTCTGGAGAAGGACAAAGATTTCATTAGCTTTCCTCTGTGTAACAAGTCATATGGCAGGTTGCTATCAGGCGGAGTTTATTATAAGACACCTTTCACTGGGCGCTATGAGGCTGTGAAAAGTAATTAGCCCTCCATTGACAATCTGCCACGCGATGTTATGACACATGTCATGTAACATTTATGACAGCGATCGGCGGCGCCCAGAGCGCGGGTCATGGGTTAACAAACACACGCCGCTCACTTTGGCTCCGTGCTCGGCATTCCTGTACACTAACATCCACGGAGCTGGCTCTGAAGCCGTCCATGTGAGATGCGACCCAGCCCGCTGCCAGCTGCCGGAGTCAGCCCCGGTGCCGGAGGACAGGCTGAGCCGCACGCCGGCCCACGGGGGAACGCTACTGTAATGAGAAAATGATTCATGCTCTCCTCTTCCCGGCCCCCCTCCCACCTGAAACACATTTAACCCAGCCAGAGAACGCCACTTGACACATCAGGTCAACATACCAGCACATGTAGCCCGCGCAAGATAAATAAGCAGTCAGTTCTTACAAATTGCCCTAACAAAGTATGGTCGAGCAAAATTGCACTCAGATGATATGGTTGTTAAATATATATATATAATAATAATGGCATGGCAGAATGACCGGAGGTTAATCAAATCCACGACAGCTCTCATCAATCTATCAATGTTCTGGCACTGATTGGCCTGATTGGAGGTTGGTTTTCCATCCCTGCAGCCGAATTATTCTCACACCTGGTGTCTGCCTGCATCTGACGGCCATTCACATTCCCCCGGGGAGCAAATTATTGACGAAAGACTGACAGCACAGCTCGGCATGCCATGTAACATGGCAGTACTTCATATGTACAGAGTTGGCTAAAGGGGGGAAAACATATCAATACCTTTTTGAGGAGGGCCAAATGGATTTACTTCTACGAAGCAAAGCAGGACTCCAGATCTGAATCAGATGAAGTATCCTTGCAATCTCCAGAAATCACCCAAAGACCGATGGTTCTTTTTAGAAAGTCCAGTTAAGGAGAGTAAAGCAGGAACACCGGCTGATGTAAAGGTTACATCACTTTGCCTGGCTGCGGGTCAACGTTTGTACTCATTTAAACCCCACTATACCCAAACCAATTCAGACTCATTACTTTTCGTATGAGTGTAAAGTGGGGGAAATCCCTCCTCTGAAGACATAAATGAAGATTTTATTGCAACACAGGCAAGAAAAGCCCTCTACATGCTGTCCCACCTCATTATTCTCAGTCTACTTGGCATCAGCATGCATGTCATTGAGCTCACTGGGTAAAAGTGAAGAGCAAGTGTGTATTTTCAATTCAGCCTACAGAGGTGGCTGAAAGAATCCACCGGTTTTATTACCCAGATTGTGTTTTAAATAACCACACTTGAGCAGTGTTTACACCACAAGTCAAAATTGATTAATGTCAGTCCGAAACAGTGGTGTTTCAGGGATATTGAGTCTGCTCCTGCCTTATCGAACAAAAGGTCAGAATGATGGGGCTTAAGTTCTTAAAAAGTGTGGGTAAAAATAGCTTCTTCTTTTTTTTCTTTGACAAAAAAAAACACCTCTGAGTCAGTCCCGTAATACGCTTGTTTGGCTCAAGCATGCTTCATATACAACCATTAAGGCAGTCAAATAAGGTGTTGAAATCTCCAAGTTTCCACCTGTTCAAAGCTCCCAATCAAAAAACAAATGGAGTCCAGAGAGTGTCAAACAGGAACTTCCACACAAAGAAAAAAGGCCACACACAGACTCACACACGCATACGGACCTCTGGAGGAGCGGAAGTGTTTGCTGGGTGCAGTGAAGCCTCGAGTCCCGTGGACATTAACCGCTGCAACTCTGAACTGGTACCATCTGCTGGCTCTGATGTCAGCCAGTTGGATGCGCTCCTCTGGAGTCTGAGGGACAGATGGGGGGGAGGGGGGGGGCACACCACAGGGGTCAGGGTTTATGCTGGGTCGCAGCCCCGAGCGAGCGCACTGCCACATCAGTCATCCGAGCGCTTCTCTTTGCCAAACTTTCAAAGACACTTGTGAGTGTGAGGAATGTGCGGACGCACTCTGCGGCCTGCCGGGGCGGTGCTGTTTCACAGCTGTCCCTCTGCAGGGAGTTCAGCGGCATCTAAACAGAAACTTTACGGGGCGTGGGCACGCACGGCTCATCGGCTTCTACCTGGGCCACGGTCTGCCACTCCGTGGCGTCGTCCTCGCTGGGGTGGATGCCGTAGTTCCAGCGCCGCTGCACCACGTACAGGACCGGCTCCACCGAGATGTTGAACTTGGAGGACCAGCGGATCTCCAGCTGACCTGACGGCTGCTCCAAAAACACCAGCTCCTTCCTGGGCTTCAGAGGGACACCTGAAAAGTAAAAGATGAGTTAATATCACCTCCGTGTGGAACGCCGAGGATGATGACATTTGCTCTTTTCCTCTCTCTCGGGTGAACGAACGTTGGAAAGACAAATGACACCACCGGAGTTGGACAGATACAAATCTGAAAATGAGACATGACCTCACTGCTTTAGATTTAATACATGCTGTGGGTCAACAGCATTATCTTTCTTCTGTGAAGAATTGTGACATTTCCTGGCTGTCGTTTTTGTGTTTTAGTAGCTGTGCTTCTCAGCATGGATACACATGGTTTGCGTTTAGGCATCCTTTCTCTCTGCCTCTTAAAGGTACCAAATACAGCAGTATGAGCATAAACGCATGTACGGAAGGTTAATTTGCACCATTGAACTTCACATTTAGCCTCTCAGGCCAAGTTGACTTGGCCATGCCCGGTGAATGAAAGATTTATTAAGTGGGGGGACTGGGCCAATAGCTCAGCCAAGTCAGGCTGACTCTCTCAAGTAGATTTATTGCGATGGAGACGTAGTGAGTTGTTGATTGAGCATTGGGCAGGGCGATAATGAGATGGAGATTGGAAAAGCAAGTTTGGAAGTACAGGAGGGGCCTAACCCCCCCACTCACACACCTTCAGGTTTCTCAATAAATCAGCTAGCACTTGGCAGCATTAGCATGAGGCTGGACCTCTGTCACGGCTGAGCAGGCTTCTCTTTGGTGAAGAGCATCCCCGCACGCTCAAGGCGAATGAGTCGCAAGCTGGTAAACAACATCATCAGGCCTTTATTTCGCATTCAGGGCATTTGAACTGCTTACATCTCTATTCAGTCCTTGTGCACGGCTTGTAAAAATGATCGATGCGCAAGATCACGGAAGTGGGAAGAGCGGGGTTGAGTCACACGCATATGAAGTCGGTGCTTTGTTTGGTCCTTCTGATCACAGCTGGGGGTCATTGTGCTGTGGCTTCGCGGCTCCACATGTGCGAGTGTGTGTGCGAGTGTGTGTGCGTGCGTGCGTGTGTGTGTATTAGTCTGAACGTGTAGACAGACGTGTCACACATCCTGCGCAATCATCAACACCAAGGTAACCACAGCATTCCTCCTTTCCTCCATCCGTCTTCGCTCATCTTCCCACAAAGTCACACATGCGCACAGAGAAAAAAACACAAACACACACACACACACACACACCATCCCTCTCTCTCGCTCTCTTCCGCTTTTGGTGGGAGGACAAATAATCCACTTTCTCCCAGGTTGCTCTTTCCAAAGATAACTTCTGGGTCAGGGCCGGTCCAATAATCATGTAGCATTTATTTTTCGAGGGCCACACGCATTCCCTGAGAGCGTGACGTAACTCCTGCCGGGGCCTGATCAAAAGTACTGCCTCCATTCATGCCTGTATCATGCCAACAATTACACTCCGGGAATATAATTCTCAATACTCACGCACATACTGTCATAATGACTGCTCTAATTGCAGGGGGGGGAGGAAAACATTGTGAATGCTGCCTGTTGCACAATGAAGTGAGGCACGATGCGAATGACTGACGGACCCGTAGTGGCGGGGTGAGCACCACGCGGCACACTCCGCTTCAATCTGACACTTAGAATGTAGAGCTGCTTTTGATGAGAGAACTCGCAAAAACAAGTTGGGTTGCGTCACATGCGGTGTTTCTCCTTTGAAGGAATTGGGGAGAAACTAAAGATAACTAAAGAGGCCGATGTGACAGCATAAGAGAAAATGTAAGCCTAATAAGGCAGCTATTTCTATACAAGAGCAGCATATTTTATCAAAGGCACATCTCCTCAAATAAAACTTAGCAGCGAGCAGCGAAAGACGGCGACGCTTTGTTACACATCAAAAGCTTGGCGGGGTTCTGGTGTCTCCAAGATCCTGAAGCTTGACAGGGTTTTTTTTCTTTCTTTTTTGCCTAGTTGGGGGTGGGGGCGCACGCATGAGTCGGGACCTTAACCTGAACACACACATCTGAGAGCGATCTCTGTGGGGGAAACGCTCCATTTCTCCCCGCTTGTATTTGCTAATGGCTTCCAGCATCATGGCTCATCATGGGGAAGAGTGCGTACGCACTTGAGCACACACAGAAACAATTACGCTCTTCAAACCATGAGCATCTAATTAGACCTTTAACACCGAGAGCCGGGACAGAAATTCCATCCTGACTTTGGCCAAAAATGCTGAGTGTAATTCGGCGTAAGTGCAGTGCTGACGGCGGCCTGCCGTGAGCTCAGTGTTTGGACTAGGTCGGCAGGGATGCTGCTGGAGCTGAAGGTCTCACGGCGAGAGGAATGGTTCTCATTTGCCTGGGTCACTGTATGGAAATTGTCAAAGTTATAGGGGCTTTCATCTTTCCCCAGATTAACGTGCCATACACCTTCTGAGCCTGACGTCTACCACCGAGTCCCTTGAGATGTTTCCTAATCTAATAGAAATACTAGAACGTCTGCTCTGTGTGCAGAGGCTCAAACGCACAAATTACATGCTCTTACACACGCTAAAAAACCAACGCACAGTAAAACATTCTTAGTCTGATTCAAAGCATACGCCCCTACAGTCTATCACTGCAGCAGTTCAAAGCTTGATTTAAACTCATCTTCCACTGCTCAATCTCCTAAACTCTGTTATGGCCTCAGGCGGCCAGCAATTGTGTGCTGCTGACAGTGTGTATAATATAGATCCAGCACCCGTCTCCAGGTTCAGGGGCCCTCAGTTCTTTCACATAACGACTCAGCACCCTCAGAAAAACCAAGTAGCCTTGGGCGACGCTATCAAACTCTTACTGGAGCAAAGATTCCTGGGCACACTTGTGTATGTGAAACCCTTGCGTTTATCCTGCAATTTCAATACCGAAGAAACATTCTAATTTACAGCAGGAGCAACACGGAGGCTGAGTGGGAGAGGCACAATGTAAAGAGATGAAATAAAGATTTATGACTAAAAGCACGCTGTCAAAAACGGGCTGAGATAATCCGCATTTGCGTCACCGAGAATTCATATTGATATTTAACAGAGAAGGATGAAGCACTTAATCACATTAAAAATATTAACAGACCATTACCATATATGACACTATACCATTTTAATAAGAAAATTAAAGGGGGGAGCAGTATCCCTGATTCAACCGACTAAACTTGTTACTGTAATCTGCTCCCTTTTGGAAACAGCATTCAGCTTTAATTAAATATGGAGATGAGTTAAGTGCACAGGCAATTAAGCATCACTTCGGTCAAATATTTAAACGCTGTGCATTATAGGCCGCATGCTCAAGAACACTCTTCCTTTTTAATTAATAAATCATTCCTTATCTAATACAAATCACTGTTAGAGCTTTCTCATTTTTCACTGAGTATTTCATTATTCATTTTTGGATTACATCTCTTCCTCTCTCCTGTTGGTAGCTCATTACAAAGTAATGACATTCAATCAGACAAACATTATTTCTCATTTCAGTGAAGGCAGATAACAAATGTCTGGATGAATAATACATCTTATGGAAGAACATTTGATTGCATCTACGCCATGAGGCAAAAGTCTTGAGACTCCCCTTCATTTCTTTATTTTTCTTCCTTTTCCTTCCAAGCAGGTAACCTTCCTTGTGATCTTGTTAAGTGCTCTTCAGCCATTCTTCAAACTGTTTAAGGGCTTCACTGGCTATTGACTGTTTTATGAGATAATTTCAAGAGACCTCCTCCCTTGCTGTTGTCAAAGAAATGTGGGTTTTTGTTACTAATCAATTTATCACTGACCTATAAATCATTTGAGGACAGAGGAAGTGGCAGGCTTGAAAAAAATCTGAAATTGATGACCTCAGTAAACCAGGAAAGAAAATTGTTCCCTTCCGTTGATCCATTGACTATTCATTAGAACCTCATCAGAACTGGTCTCCATAGAAATCTAAACGTGAACAAAAAGGTTGAGATATAAATACACAAGAACTGAACTTAACAACAACAGTGGCAACAGGTCTTAAGAGAGATTAGTCCTTCCTAAATTAAAGCAGTCTGTGATTGTGATTACAAATTTCTATCCCAATTCTAGAATTATTCTTGAAGGATGCTTAAAAATGAAAAAGAAAGCTTGTTTGAAAGTGTTCAGGCCACAGAATAAAAAATAAAGGTGATAATACCATCAACTGATTTTCTACCTCATCTGCTTGCACATGTTTCCAGTTTTGCATGTGATGTATAAAATGAGGTAGGCTCAAGATTTCAAGTACAACCAAGTGTGAAATACAACAAAGTTAAAAACCTGGATTTCAGAGGTTTGTTGAATATTATCACAAGTGATGATTCTTATTTGCTGTGAAAACATGATGTCACACTTTCCCCGTGTTTGTGGTAATCTGACCTTGCGAGTACCATGTTTTAGTAGTTGGAGCCGCGGCGTGCGCATGTTAGCGCATGTGAGGCCCTCCTGGTGGTTTTTAAAATAGGCTTTCTGTGTGATCGTTTAATATCAGAGTCACAAACCGGTGGGGATGTGGAGCAAGACTCGCTGCGTACAGGCTCCAAGCTGAGTCTGACTGGTTTCGGTTTCATTTGTTTTGGTCTGAAATGTTGCTGCCTTCATGTGCTTTCATGTGCTTTTTTTTCAGTATTGGCCAAGCAGTAACCACCAGAAAGTAAAACTAGTAGGCTAATTTTTATTGATCGTGGCAGGGTTTACCCATTCAAGGGATTTTCAACACACTTCTAAACCCCACTGCATGACATCAAAAGCACTCTGTGGGGGGAAACACTGAGGGTGTTAACTCTGAAGTGGCCATGACAGAAAATGCTATGCGTTTATCACAACAGCACAGCTGGTCACTTTTATCCTATATGAATGCATCTATAGAACAAAACGGATGGTCATTTTTCACACTGCAGTAATAAAAAGAGGCTGTGCACCTCCAACTGCTCTGTGAGCTAAAAGCATTCTTAATATGCCCCGCTGTGGTTGGAAACAAGCTTTTGCCATGCGCATGATGAAATCAGCTCAAGTAAAATGACTTTGTGTGGTTGCACAGTAAGCTGATACAACACTTGTTCCTCTGTTGTATTTCTCACAAAGCAGCTGCTCAGTGTTTGCCGTCACATTCATTAAACCACCCGTTAGGACCAGCGCTGCCAACTCAACCGCGGCTAAATTCCTCGATTTTAACTTTCATGGCAATCTGTTGCTGCGGAATGATGTCATCAAATTCAATGCAGCTTTCCCTTGCCTCCTGCGTTACCTTTGTAGAGATTCTTGGGCATCTGGCAGGTGTGGCCACAGCCATTGGAGCAGCACTTTTTGACCGCTGAGCACTCTCCATCCTCCTCGCAGCTCTCCACGCAGGCCGCAGCAAAGCCGCTGGCCTTCTCCGGGGCCGGGCAGTCGCCCTGCTTCACGCCCTCTACCGACTTCAAGAACTCACAACTCGTAAGACACTCGTAGTGCTTCTTGGGAAAGAGTGGCTGCGAAAGAAGAAAGGTGGGAAAGGGAGAGGAAAAATATATGTCAGATTCCTTTTTAGGAACCAACCGGCCTCGCTGCACACAGGCCGCTCTTTGAGTTAACAGTGACGGTCCTGTTTACATTTCGGCTTATGACTCACTGGAGCAGCGAGTACATTAAATGGCTTTGATTCAGTCACACACAGTGTGTCGTTACAGTGCAGAAAGAGTCACTTCACACCCCTTTCAAACTTTCCCCTTGGTGAGATTTCCCATTAGGTCTGGAGGACTCAAACACTCACGTCTGGGGTAACCACAATATTTGTGGTAGTGACATACCTCGCATAAATCTTGGCACTGGTTTTCCTTCAGGTCCCAGGATTCCTTGCAGGGCTCCAGGCACTGTGAAAAGGAGAAGGGTGTAAGTTCTTCAAAGCGCCAGCCACATCAAAGACCTGCTGCGGCAGAGATGGTGTCCTGGGTACTTGTGTCCTGGCAGCCGGGGTGACACCTCACTCAGGCTCTTCCTCTAAAATGTTCACAACAACCAGCCACACCCCTTTTTGTTAAAGATGCCAGGCATACCTTTCAGAGGACAAAAGACGGCCTCCACAAAAGCGAACAAAGAGCATGGGACTGTCTGCGATGGCTAGACGTACACAGGCTGTGCTGGAAATCGACTCATGCTTGGGTTTTGCTTGTGTGGGCCCTGACAGATTCTCTCTTCACGCCTTAACACTACTAGCCTCCCATACTGTCTACACCTCATTCTCATCCTGCCACTTCTCCCGCTCATGTCTGGGCTTGATACGCTCTGGCAGTGGTACTTAACTTCTCTTCACCAGCGCTGAACGGAGAGCATTTAATAAATGATACACTTGGTTTACTGTTCTTGGGATTCCCTTTTTTCCCACATGGAACACATTTACTGACTGTTCAAAACAGGCACCAGATAAAAGAAGAAGCATAGCATGAGTGTGCCTCAAACTCATTTAGCCAAACGTAATGGGTTGATATAATTTAAAATGAACGTTTACCGTCCGAGTCAAACTCTTCTTTGCTTTAAGTATAACAACTCAACCCGAACGAATTAAATTTGATAGAACTGAATGTAATTTCAAACAAACAGCCATGCACATCCAATAGAATCAGGCGGATTGTGCTGCGGGCAGGGTTGAAAATGAAAGAGGCTCAGGTCTTACATCTTCCCGCTGCTGGCTGCTGGGAGGTGGTGTGAAAAAGAAGAGCAAACTCAAGTAAACCACTGCCAAGCTGCATCTGCACTGCTCTGGGAGCAGCCCAAACCGCACCAACCAACGGCCTGCCAAAGTCACTCATTCAACCATATCTAATTTGGACTCTTTCAGCAGCTACAGCGCAAAGGTAGAGTCAATAACGGATTTTCAACACATTCTGCTATGTTCGTCACCCAGGAAAGTATGGGAGGAAACATGATATGGCAACGGCCCACTTTTGGTTAGAAATATACTCCTGATAACAGATTAGAACACATCCTGTTACGTAAGGTACAGTGCAAAAGAGAGTCTACAAACAGAAATCTACTGTAAAATAGAGACCACGTTCAAAACTAAGGATGATGTAAGAGCTTTCACATCAGACAGGAGGCCAGAGCTGTATTTATTACTCTTTAATTCGCTCATTAGCCAGCTCTGTCATTATTATATCATTGCCAGTGCAAAGTTTATTTGCTTTTTATGGTGTGTGGTGGACGGGCGCATGATGAAACATAAACCTTGCTTCTGGAGAAACATGCTGCAATCAGGACCCTGCACAGCCCTGCCAGCACGCAATTCCACTCAGACGGTGCTTCTTTTTTATTTTTTCTTCTCGTCTAGCCCGGCCTCATCTCTGTCAGCCGATAAACTCTGCGTGGACGGTCTGCTGAGTCTTTAATGGCTGGCTCAGGACAGCGAAGGAGGCTAGGAGAGACGGTCTTTTCTTAATTATCATTTTATAGCAATACGGATATCACTGCAGAAATATGAAATACGGAGTGCCAAGAGGAATAAAAATGGACACCTTGGAGGGTTATGACAGGAGAGAGCTCCAAAAGCAGCTATTGTGGTTTCAGCAAGGCTGATCAGGTGAAACCACTGTAACACTTCAGGGATTTAACATGACATATGAGCTCAGCGGCACTGTCCAAGTCGGAGCTCAGTCTGTGCAGCCTGAAAATCATCTGCTGTTAATAATATGGTAACCTTATATCATTAACTCTGTTCTTGGTTGTGTCCTCTGGGGGTAGGGCCCGTGGAGCAGCATCCTCCCAGGCTTGTAGGAGCACCACGCTGGAACAATGATGCAGTAAGTGAGCACAGCAGCAGCAGCATCTAAAGGACATTCCACCAGTAGACGCACATGTTAAAGCCCCCAAATCCCCCGTACAAATCACTGAACATACACACATAAGCCCGGGGATCAGCCTCATTTTACTCATTGAAATATCTTGTGTGCGAGGACTGAATGCATTCCGGTAGCTTTTCTACAAGAAGAATCCTTTTCTGGTTCAGAACAATCCCAACCCTACATGTGAAAATAGAACCGGCGCTACCTCTTCTAGATGCTCAGGCTTGTGTGCCAAGCTGCATGAATTAACACAGCACACTGCGTGCCGAGGACATTGCAACACAGATCAGAATGCTGGCTGTGTTCAGTGTCGTCTCACCCACATAGTCCAAATTTACCCCTTCGTCTTTAACTCCTCAGGAAAAAAAAACTTCCCAAAACGACTCCATTCTACAAGGAAGTCTTCAGAATGCGTCTGGCAAGTTTTGTTATTTCTTTTCCTGAATGAGGGGGTGTATCGTAAACTCCGCTCCTTATAAAAGATAAGCATCTGTGTTGGGGCACAGAGCTCCCTGCAGGTGTGCTGAAAACTGACAATCTGTCAGCGTTCTGCCCGGCCACACCCACAACCTGACATCTAAGTAGAGAAGAGGAGGGCCGTCGACAGATGCCTTGCCAAAGCAAATAGGACGGCTGGATATAATTACAAAGGTGCTCTCATCGATCAAGTGCCTGATTCCTATTTACACCGTTTGCTGCTCAATCTAAACCATGTAAAAATGCTTGCGATGGAGCCAGAACTCATTTTCTATGCAGTCTTGTGCAACTGTTTTGCAACAGCTCCAGGCAATCTGCGGCAGACAGATACCCTTGTCTGCCTGAAACAGGATATTCTACTCTTATATTTTTGGGTCTGATCAGCGTGGATTCTCCAGGTACATATTTATCACAGCTAACTGACAAAAAAGAGAAAAAAAAAGAAAAAGGGAAACACCCACAGATTCCTTTAGTCATACATAGCAAAAAGCAGTGTCACTCTCAAATCAATGAAACCCTAACATTTTGCACATTGTGCATTACTAATAGCTGGTGTCTGACTTCTGGCATATAATCTGGGAAAATACACAGTGTAACCAGAGCGGAGAGCATAACTGAGCTGGACACAGCCTATGAGTTGGGTGTGGATGCCAGCACTGAGTCTCCCCCAAGCAAAACTGCCCGGCTGGCAACACAGCTACCATCTGTTAGAGTCGCACAAGGAATGCATGTCATTTGGCTATGTGAAGTTAACACACATTAGGACGAATTCCACTCGAAAAGGGCCCAAACGTTTGCCGGACGTGTAAACAAGAGCGCCGGGTTGTTTCCCCGCACTCGAGCCCTCGGTTCGAACAAAAGCATCGGAGGGTCTGATTTCCCCTTTTGTCCTCTTATCGTCTTGCCCGACGGTGACACATTCTGCATGGTTAAGCAGGAACATCCATGGCTCTCTTTCACTCCCCATTTCACGCTGTAATAAAACGCAGCAGTTGTTACTCTGGGGGACCCTGAAAGGCATTCTGTGGGGCCGATGAGGGAGTCGGGCTGAATGGAAGCCAACGCCACATCCCATCTTCACTTTTTCACGGCTGGGACAAGGCGAGGAGTGGGGAGGAGGTGGTGGTGTTGGTGGTTGGGGGGGGCTGGGTTGGACGAAAGTTGAAGAAGTGGAAAGGGGAGACAAGGAGGTACGTTGGCTGCTTCATATGGAACCTCCTTCCTCTGTCATAGCATCTCCACCCCTCATAAAAAGGCATGTCAGTCAGTGACTGGAATAACAGAGTTAGGGAAAAGCCCACAAATAAAATGTCACGCGAGGCTTTTGTTTTAGTTAATGAAGCACAAACTGACACCAGCCAGGGCTGCCCCGAGGCCCAGCAATACGCGATGTGTACAAAACAAATCTCATACTCAGGCAGATGACATTTTTCCTGTTTTGCCTGAACGCATCTGCAAACAACAGGAGTGTGAGAAATCTGCTGTTCTGCTTTTGCCAGTGAAATACAGCAAACAGGAATGTGTGTGGTTACCTGTGCACTCCCTCAACACGAGCCTCTAAAATACAGACCCCGGGATGTTCACTCTTTCTTTACCCAGAGGCTTAAGGGTGGGCATATCAGTCCCAGCACTCGAGGTGGTGGTCAAGGTCCACTGATGCGAAGCAATATTTACAAGCTGGCACTGCTGTCCCCCGGGACGAGGCCACAGCTTCCTGCCTCTCTGGAAGGCTCAGATATGGTGGAATCTCCGTTGTTGATGGCACGCATTGTAAATCTCACCTCCAATCTCATTGGGTTATAGTCATTTTTTTGCTGCCCTGGTGCTTTTCACACTCTCGGTGACCAGACTCAATTATTACAGCAGCTCTCTGCTCTCCGCTCATATCTATCGACCCATCCGGGGATAAGTTACTGGGCTCTGCTCTTTCTTCCAGTCAAATAGGCCCTGACTCAACGTATTCAACCTCTCACTCTATTTCACTTTTATTTGGCTGTCTCGCCCTCGGTCCTGCTTGCCTCTCCGTTCTCACAACCTCTCCTCTATCATTCATCTATCGTTCATCTGTGCTTTTCATTCTCTCTCTCACTCAAGTCCACTTTAATGCAGGCACACATCAAAATAGTCAGCTCTCTTTTTGTTTGTCTTCCCTCTGCATTGCACTCCCATATTGCTGCTGGATGAATGTCTTTCTCTTTAAGAGACATCAGCATCACATTTATTGCACCTTCCAAGGTGAACGCTCCTCAGTTGTTGCTCTCCTTTTAGTGCATAATAACTTTCATTAGTGCGTTAGCTTCACTCCTAAGAATTGGCTGGCACCTCGCTTTTGACACTGTAGTAATGAAAACACTGGGCCAGAGTTCAGCTCTGCCTCCAAAATGAAGGAAATTAAAATGAAGCAATGGTTAGCTTGACAATAAAAATAGTTCATCAGACTAACTTTATGTGTTTGATGTAAATCTGTCGGTTCAAAACCAAATATGACTACAGTATATCATACATTGTTGTATTTATTGCGTACATATGCAATGCAGATAAATGAATATAAATATTTA